TAACGTAACGGAATAGGTTACAGAATACATTTTGGGGCATGTATTCTGTATTCTGTAATGGAATACATTTTAAAAGTAACCTTCCCAACACTGAATATCTGTGATGTGTTTATAAAGGACAGTTATGATTACCTGTGGATGGAGATAATGTGACAACCTGAATCTCCCATGTGGTGATGGAATCAGGAAGGAGCAATGAGTAGCTATAAGAGTTTTTGATGAAGAGAAATCAAATTAAATCAAATCAATCAGACAAATGACACAGTTTATACTGGGGTTCAAAGATAAGCTGCTTAAGTGAAATAATCACACATTATTCAAGCAACAACAATTAAGATGAGTACATAAACAAAGCAACTGCATGGTGTCATTATGCATCGAACAACTGTATTTGACTGGAAATGGATTTGTGTATATAAAAAAAAAAAATTCCTCACTCGCCCCTGTGGGCGGTCAATCCTTCAAGCTCGGGTCCTCTACCAGAGGCCTGGGAGCTTGAGGGTCCTGCGCGTTATCTTAGCTGTTCCTAGGACTGTGCGCTTCTGGACAGAGATCTGCGATGTTGTTCCTGGGATCTTCTAGAGCCACTCATCTAGTTTGGGAGTCACCGCACCTAGTGCTCCGATTACCACTGGGACTACTGTTACCTGATGAAGGCTCTTAGACTCCTGTTGATCTTGTATAGCTCCGATAGTTGGCTAACCTCCCTCCCTACTACCTTGATCTTAGCCTCTTGCCTCCTTCTCCATGGAGGGTACTGCCCCTTGTGGCTGTAGCCAAGCATCTCACTGATCACTGCTGCCATGGTGTAGATCAGCTTGTTAGTCTCGGTAATGGTGGCTGTAGGTATCGTCCACAGTGCTGAATTAACATAGTCTAACAGACCTTCTGAGGGTACTTCATGTAGACTTGGTAACCGGCTACGGGGGATTCAGGTTTCAAGCTTGGCCATGATCCTATCTTTCAGGTCACTTCCTCTCGCACTCAACGATCCTTCTTCTATCGCACTTGGTGCTTGGTACCCAATCTCGGGTGGGG